TTTCGTGCTGCTACATGCTCCGAACAATGACCAGCGACGCCCATCAACTCGCCCAGCGCTTCCTCGCCTTTGTGAATGCGAGCCCATCTCCATTCCATGGTACGCAACTCTGCTTCACGCCATGCATGCTCTTCTTCACTCTTGCTTGCGATTGACGTGTGCATCCTGCATTCACTTCACTTCACTTCACTTCACTCACCTACCTGCCTTGTCTTGCGCTGGCTTCCCCCTCCATTGTAGCCGTCGAGGAGTGCCGCCGCACACTGCTCGCATCGTCGTTCATTGAGCTCAAGGAGAAGGAAGCATGGTCGCTGAAGCCCGACAGCAAGGTCAGGGATCCCATTGTATTACATTGGGCGCTCGTGTCAATCTCAGCATATGAGATACAAAAGTGCTCACTTGTGTTACGATTTACAATCTGCTTTTGTTTTGCTCAAATTCCCAACCATACTTGTGTTTTGTTGGTTCTGGTTGCCGACAGTACTTTTTCACGCGCAACCGGTCGACGCTGATCGCATTCACGGTCGGCGGCAAGTTTGTGCCTGGAACCAAAAGCGGATTTTCGATTGTCGGTGCGCACACGGACAGCCCGTGCCTGCGTGTCAAGCCCGTGAGCGAGCTGTCCAAGGCCGGCTATGTGTCGCTGGGTGTCGAATGCTACGGCGGTGGTCTGTGGCACACCTGGTTTGATCGCGACCTGACTGTCGCCGGTCGTGCGATTGTCCGCGCCGTTGACGGCCAGCTGCAGCACCGTCTCGTGCACATCAAGCGCCCGATTCTGCGTGTGCCGACCCTCGCCATTCACCTCAACCGCGAGGTCAACTCGGACGGCTTCAAGTTCAACACTGAGACGCAGCTCGTCCCGATGCTCGCCACCGCCGTCAAGTCCCGTCTCGAAAAGACCAAGGGCGACGACGGCAAGCGCAGGGCCGGGGTCGAAGGCAAGCACCACTCGACCTTCCTCAAGCTGCTGAGCGAGGAGCTCGAGTGCTCGGTCGACACCATTGTCGACTTTGAGCTGTGCCTCGCCGACACCCAGCCCTCCGCCATTGGCGGCCTGGAGAACGAGTTTATCTTTTCGCCTCGTCTGGACAACCTGATGAGCACCTTCTGCGCGCTCGAGGCCCTTGTGACGAGCTCCAACGCTCCCGGCTCGCTGGCTTCGGACACGAGCGCCCGCATCATCTCGCTGTTCGACCACGAGGAGATTGGCTCCCGCAGTGCCCAGGGCGCCGATTCGGCCGTCATGGAGTCCACTCTGCGTCGCATTGTCTCCAACGTCGAGAGCAACAAGGACCAGCGCGACACTGCCTTCCAGGAAACTGTTGCGCACTCGCTGCTTGTGAGCGCCGACATGGCGCATGCTGTTCACCCGAACTATTCGTAAGTGGATTTGTGCAGATGAGCATCTGTTGCTGCCGACTGGGTGGTTTTTTTGTATTTGCCGCGCGAATCTCACTTTGCTCATCCAACACCTCCACCTCCATGCAGCGACAAGCACGAGGAAAACCACCGCCCGGTCATCCACGGCGGCCCGGTCATTAAGAGCAACGCCAACCAGCGCTACGCCACCAACTCGGTCAGCGGCACCGTTATTCGCGAAATTGCGCGCAAGCACAACATTCCCGTGCAGGAGTTTGTGGTGCGCAACGACAGCGCCTGCGGCTCCACCATTGGCCCCATCGTTGCTGGCAATCTCGGCATGCGCACCATTGGTACGAGTGCAGTTGTGGTGGAAAAAGCGTGCCAAATTTTTGTGTTTGTTTGTTTGTTTGTTTTGTTTTTGTTTTTGCTCACGTCCAATTTACTTTGTCAGACATTGGCAACCCTCAATTGAGCATGCATTCCATCCGCGAAACCTGCGGTGTCGACGATGTCACCTACGCTGTTCAGCTCATCAAGGTGAGCCGTTTTGATTTTCTGTTTTGTACTGGTTGTATGTTCACACCAGCTCACCAATCACCGCACAGGCCTTCTTCGAGGACTTCCCTGCCATGGACGCTCGTCTCGATGTCGATTAGTTGACCAGGGCCTTCTCCAATGGCTTGTACTTCCCGACTCAAACACAAACGCAAAGTGCATTCAAAGAATAAAATTTTCATTCGGGCAAGTTTCCTCACTTCATCTCAAACACGATCGAGAATCAAAACTAGAAAATGTCATTCATTGTCAACATTCAAGGTCAACAACAAAGCCGAAGAAAGACAAAAATACAAAATACAACTCAATCACAACAAAATTTGGAGCATCCAATCACGACTGGCAAAAGCGTCGAAACCTCATTAAACATGAGTGTCGTTTTCAAGTCAGAGAAAAAAAAGATCAATTAAGAATTCAAATTTAGCGAAAAAGATAGGAGGGGGAAAAGGAAAAGGAAAAGGAAAAGGAACAAGAAGAGAGAGCGAGCGAAGACAAACCTCATCGATTTTCACTTTTCTTCTGTTGCTGCGTCGGCGTCGTCGCTTGCATCCTCCTTGTCGTCACTGACTTCTGAAATGCTGTCGGCAGCATCGTCACTCTCGTTCGAGTCCTCGTCTTGCGAACCGTCGTCGACGGCCTGCTGCATCAGTTGGCTGAGGAAGGCTCCAAATTGGCCCATGCCCGTTGCGTTGGCGCCATTGCCAAAGTCGGGTGCTTGGAAGGCACCTGCGCCTGGTGCGCCTCCTGGCCGGCTGGCGTCGGCAGGCTCGACGGGGACGGGATCGCGGGGCTTACTGCAGCGCTCGGCTAGCTCGGCGTAGGTGCCGCCATTGAGAATGCCAATAATCAGCACCGTCATGTTGTCGCAGCCAACGCCTCCTCGTGCGTCGCGCGCGAGGCAGTTCTCCATCAGCTGTTCGCAAATCTCGCCAAGGGGTGTCTGAGTCGCAATGCGTTGGCGCACAAAGTCTGTTACCGCCTGGTTGTTCATGACGTCCCAGATACCTGAGCAGCGAATTCGAAAAGAAGGGAGGAGAAACAGGGAGAGCTGAGCGATTGAAACTCGGACGACAAGCAAAGACAATCAAAACAGAGCTTTTCAAAAAAAAAAATACATACCATCGCATGCGAGCACGACAAACTCGACTTCTGGTGTAATTTCCATGCTAATCACGTCCGGGAATGCTAAATCGAGCACAAGAACCAAGCACAAAAAAGCACAAAATGAGTACAAACCAAAAGAACTGAAACAACGATGCCATCCGTACATGTGACAGCTTGCTCCTTGGGCCCGATGCGCGCATTGGTCTTGAAAAGAAAGTCGCCGATGGCTCGCGAGAGGGCGAGATTGCCATTCACACGTCCAAACTCGACAAAGCCGCCCGCAGCCTTGATCCGCTGGAATTCCTCTACTCGGCCCCAGGTAATTTTCCATGCACAGTCAGCACACACAGCAGTCGGATTTGAAAGCAAAGGAGACACTGAAGCTGACAAAAATGAACGCACCGGGGTTGTTGGGTTTGTGGTCATACGACAGCGGTTGGGCGACGCCGTTTTTTGATAGCAATGCTCGAGAGTCTCCGGCGTTGCCCTGTCACGCACGCGAAACAAGCAAACAAACAAATCAACAATGAACAAGTCAGATGTTTCCCAGGTTGGACGGGGGTAAGGATGCGCGACAAAGACGACGCTGAAATCAACATACGCAATAAACAGTGTTATCCTTGATCAGAACAGCCACGGCAGTGCAGCCGGAAGTGTCGTACCGCATGTTGGCGTCTAAGGTGGATCGACAAAGGGCAAGAAACACAAAAAAGGGTGAGCACAAGAAGAGCCAAAACAAAACACAAGAAGCGTGACGCAATCTCTTGCCCTCCACACTTGCCACTCGCCCACACTCGCCCACACTCAACGTACCCTTCATCATGTCCTCGTCAGTTTGCAAAAAGCCAGTCTCCAGCGCGCCCTGGAAGTTGCCCTGCTGGTATTCTGGGGCGCTGGTCACCTTGTTATGTACCACTTGCCCCGCGTACCGAGCAACGTTTGCGCCTAAACCAAGCCATTTTCAAAGGAGCCAATGTCCAAGTTAACTCTTGGCGCACTCTCAACGCAGAGCATCGGCTCCGAGATCGCCGCACGAGCGAACACTGAAAAAAAAAAAAAAATCAGCACTTACCGCCATGTCCGTCGTAAACGGCAAAGAAGGCCGCCTGGGAGTCTCCGGGTAGCTCCAAGAGGGTTGTGTGGGCGTCTTCCATGTCTGTGCAAACAAAACGAGGAACGCGAGTTGGTACAGCGAACAAGATCAAGACGCACACACAATGGAGAGCCATGCGATGCAGCTCTTTTTTTTTTTTTTTTTTTTTTTTTTTTGCTTTTTTGCTTTTTTGCTTTTTGGCGCGAGAAAACGCAGACTTTGTTTTGTCTTCTCTTTCGTTCGCTCTCTCTCTCTCTCTCTGCTGATAGTTTTTGCCTGTGATCAAAAGCAGTGTTGCGCTGTTCAACGCATCACATTCACTCAACAAGGACAACCCGCATCCAAAAAGACCGCGCTCAACGCTTTGGCAGCAAAAGAATGGAGAAAAAAAAAAAGCCATTGAAAAAAAGAAAAAAAAGCTGGTGACTCAAACGCAAGGAGCGCCTCGTTCTGGGCCACGCGACGAAGACACGGGCGCGAATCGCATGCAAACATGAACGCGTGTGCCTGGGCAGCGACGGCGGCAGACGGTGGTGGAGGCAACGAGGTGGAGCGCGACGCGCAAAAGCCAACAACGCACAAGGCACGAGAAGAAGGAAAAGGACAAAAAAATCAAACGAAAGGTTTGAAGCGATACTGCCCAGTTCACGAGAGGAAACACGAAAAGGTAGCAACAATACTCAACAAAAATAATACAAAAAAATAACAAAATAAAAAAGCCGTACTAATGCGCCAGCCTTGCATGGCCGAGGCGCCATACGTCAATCGCTTATCGGCACCCGAGGAGGTGTGCTTGTCTGTGATTGGCTCGGAAAGTACTTGACCCATGACAGCAAGCTACAGTGACGAGAAAGAAACGAGAAGGAAGGAAAGAAGCAAAGCTTCAAAAAAGCGAAAAAATGAGAAATGGAAGCCTTTTTTTTATTTTTTTTTTGTGATTTTTTTTTATTTCGTATTTTTTTTTTTACTTGGATTCTTTGTCTTGGCTCGCTTTCGTCACTCTTTGCCGAGAATAAACAAACAAAAAAACCAACTGAGAAAGCAATAAAGAGTATAAATTATTGTTTAAACAAATCAACGGGAAGCTCGCACAAAAAAACAAAAACATAAACAAAAACGCACACTCAAAAACGTCAAATCCATCACTCGACGCGGGCGGCATCGATATGCTCGCGCTTGGTCCAGGGAGCACCGGGATCAGACTCGGATGCGTTGAACGCCTCGAGGGCAGCGCGCTTCAAGCCTTGAGTTGGCGCATTGACAGGGCCAGGTTGCTGTTGCAGCCAGAGCAGCGCCTGCGATTCGAGTTGCTGCGGCACCATCCCGAGGGGCGGGAGTGTGGAATACTGTGGCTGATGCTGATGTGGTGGCAGTGGTTGGTGATGCTGCTGCTGCTGCTGCTGCTGCTGCAGTTGCTGGGCATGAGGGTGGGCCATAGATTGGTAAGGAATCGGTTGGACGTGTGAAAAGGCCATCTGTTGCTGATGATTTTGCGCTGGCAGAGCTCCCGTGAAAGTGACATGGCCACCACCGCCTTGAGAAGTGAACACGACCTGCGGGAGGTGCTGCTGCTGCTGCGAAGGCGTCTGCTGGGAAATTTGCTGCATCAGGGGTCGTTGGGCGAACGTCGTCATTGGTTGCATGGTTGGCGCAGAGTACGACACACTGACAGGTTGGCCGGACATGCTGTAATACCCACCAGAAGGTGGCTGTGACCACGATCCCATCTGCATGCTTTGGTGGGGCATCGTGTTGGAGGCCAACGGCAGGGTCATGACGCCGTCGAGGCTTGAACCAATCTCCGAGCTGCTAGTGGGTGGCTGACGTTGCAGCGGCTGTAGCTGTTGTTGCTGTTGTTGCAGGGGTTGCAGCTGTTGGAGTTGTTGTTGCTGCTGCAGTTGCGGCTGCTGTTGCTCGTAAAACACTCGACGATCAACCATTTGCGGCTGGCCATACGGAAGCACGTTGGTTTGTGCCGCGTACTGTCCAAGTTGTTGTTGTTGCTGTTGCTGCTGCTGAATCGGCTGCTGCTGTTGAATCGGCTGCTGTTGAATCGGCTGCATCGACTGCGGTTGGCCGGGCTGCATTGATTGAACCAATGAGACTGGCTGCTGATAGTACCCGCCATTCATTCCCTCGCCGCCAGCGGCAGGGAATGCCACGCTCGTCGTCGTGGTGGGGTTGGAGCCGTACGGCATGCCTTGTTGAAGTTGTTGCGGTTGGCCAGCATACGGCGGCGGCGCCGAATCGGCCGCGTAGAAGACCCGTTGCGGTGATACGTATTGCATCGACGAAAGCTGCTGCTGAGATGGTGGTTGAACGTGCATGCTGTTGGGCATTGCCGAGAGATCGGAAGGTCGGAGCCCTTGAATTGCATGGAGCTCGGACGCACTCGAGGAAGGGAGACTGCTGCTGCTGCTGCGCGAACCGCTGGGTACCCGCGTCCTTGTCGTCCCCGAAGTCGTCGACGAACCGCCTTTGAACGGAGACGGCGGTTTGCGCGTGCGGACTGGGCGACCTCCTTCGCGACCGCCTGCACCCGGCAGAGACCCATCGCTGCCGGAATCCTCCTCGTGCTCGTCCGCATCGTTGTCGTCGTTGTCGTCGTTGTCGTCGTCGTCATCGTCGTCGCCGCGCGATGAGCGTGGGCGGTCACGGGGATTGAGGAATGCCTTGGCAAATGGGTTGTTCTTGATTTTGAGGTCCTTGATGTAGTCGTTCTGGTAGGCCGTCGCGGCAATGAAGGCTGTTTCGGGAAAGGTGTGAACGGAGGTGGGTTGCCCATGCGTAGGGGCATTCATGCTCGGCACGCTGACAATGTGCAGCTGGGGCTGGTACTTGTGCAGCGACGAGAGCACAATGTTGCCCTTGGTGTTGGGTCGGTTGGTGAGCTTGAGCCGGCTGAAGCTGATTGGCCTCTGCATCCAGTATTTTCCGCTCTTGGGCGAGTCGGGGTGCACGTACATGGTTGGCCCAGTCGGTGCGTCCGACTTGCCGCCGACCCACCATTCTCCCGACACGTACTTCCAGCTAGTCAATCGGAACAAGAACAAACAAAGCAAAAGAAGGTCAATATCGCAAAAGTGCAAAATCTCAACAAAAAAAAAAAGTGCAAAATCTGCCCAAAATTTAAAAATCTCCAAAATTTGCCAAAATCTCAAAAATACACAATTGTTTGAGCGGTTTTACCGGATGCCGTCTGCGGGTGCAATGTCGAGCATGATTGCGTAGAGCGTGTTTGGGTCGAGATTGGTAATGTCAAAGCGGAGCACAGGGAACATGTTGCGGCCGGTGCGAGTGACAATCATCTCGTTCGTCGCATCTGCAAATTTAGCCCACAACTTGCTGCTTTCGAGCGCAACGTTCGGCTGCTCCAGCTCGGCAGACGGCTGGTTGTGGTACGCCACATGCTTGATGTAGCGATGCGTGTCGCTGCTGTCAAGCGCTGCTGCGGCTGCTGCTGCTGACGACGATGCCCTGGACAGGGTCACATCGCTGGTTGACGGGGTCGGCACAACAATCGGCGCGGAGGTGGCGACATTGGTGCTACTGAAGTGGTTTGACGTCATGATAATGCTGCCTCCCGCCGGTGCCATTGCTGCTGCTGGCATGTTTGCTGCATATGTCGCGGGAATATGAGCATTAAAGTGAGCAGGAGGATGTGCGGATGATGCAGCAAGTATTTGGCCTGCTGGTGAAAGAATAGGCGTGTCACTGTTGTTGTTGTTGTTGTTATTGTTGTTGTTATTGTAGTGGTTGTTATGATTTAGGTTGTCGTGGTTGCCGATGCTGCTGCCGACAATGCTGCTGCCCGCGGCGGTGCTGCTGCCGACCAGAGACACGGTGGTGGCCATGGCACTCGTCGCTGGCAGTGGTGGCGCGTGCCCGAGTGCCAGGTGCTGGGTGTGTTGCCCATGGGAAACCGACATGTGAACGAGCGACTGCGCGCCTTCCGCGAGGCTGATGCTGCCCTTCTCGGCCTCGGTCACGACGCCATGTGGATGCAGTGCGCCGGGTGGTGGGTGCTGTGCGTAGGTTTGCGGCTGTTGTTGCTGTGCTGGATGCTGCGGGTGCGGGTGGGGGTAATCAGATGCGATGGTGGCAACCGATTGCGGGGGTGGCGAGCGAAGAGTTGTGAAAGGTGGCACAGTGACACCTTGCTGCTCAAGCCCTGCTCCACCGACGGCAGCCCCGGCGTTCTCCGCGACCGAGCCCTGGGTGGACGGTGCACATGCCCCGCTGCTGGGCGCCGCGGCGGAGCTGGCGGAGGTCCCGCTCGCCGCGAGCTGAGCAGGTGTGGAATGTACCACCTCTGGCGCTAGCGACCGGAGTGACGCCGAGATCCGGGGTTTGGACGTGTCATTCCACGGCTGCGGATGGTCCGCATGTGGCTGCGGCGGGTGCTCTGGTGAGGATGGGTCGTCCGTTTGCTGATGCGATGCGGGGCTGGGCGGCGAGTCGGGAGGAGAATCGCGCATGCGGGTTGCTGGCTTTGGAGGAGAGTCGCCGTCGCCGCCATCGTCCGCGCTGATGCTGCTCATGCTGCTCAAACTGCTGCTGGTGCTGCCGATGCCGCCCCCTGCTTTCACCGGCGCCGCTGCTGGTGCTGCTGTTCCTTCTGTCGCGGATGCTGATGCAGTCGCTGCTGTGGGGAACGGACTCGGAGCGAACAGCAGCGTTGCTTTCGTCGTCATCGGAAAAAAAAAAAAAAAAAGATTGAAAATAATAAAAAGTAATAATAATAAAACTTAAAAATAAATTCTCGCACGCGACTTTGTTCGGCGAAAACGTCCACTGTTTTTTAAAAAAATGTTGTTTTAAGTGTAAAACATACGCCTTTTTTAACTGTTTGCAACAAACGATTGCAGCTGTTAAATGGTTAAAAAAACCACAAAACAAAAAACCGGCAGCCGACCACAAATAAACGTGGGTTTAAAATGTTGTTCATTGAAGCGAACGGAAGAGGGAGGATGAGTAAGACGAAAAAGACGCGGAAAAAGCGGGAAAAAGCGGGAAAAAGCGAACGAACTGAAAAGCAAGCGAAAATTATCACACTCGGATCTACGCGGTGCATGGTTGTCGGCTACTGCTTCCCGCTAACCCTCCATTTTCCATCCAGCTGTGTCTAAATCACGAGAAGAGATGGATTTGAACATTGTTGCAAAACTAGTCGAAATCTGAAAGAGGCAACAACAATTCACCAAAAAAAAAAAAACACGAGAACGGAAATTTTTTGGTGGTTTTTATCAGCCGTGCAAAAACCATGCGAAATCGCGCAGTCCATGACGGGGCAGCCTCGCACGCCTCGAAGAAGGACAGCACGAGGCGCCATTAATCGCGCTTTTGAGGACTACGGAGGATGATCTGGCAGCGGTGGGAAGCGGCGAGACGCGTTTGTCAGCACCGCTCGTAGATCCAACAACGCTTTCCCCCGCCTCCTCCGCCGCCCCCCCCCCACTACCAAACAACACCACAGGCAGCTGCATCTCCCCTCGCTCCCTCTTGACGCACTGGAACTTTCGACCAACGGGCGGCAAGCAGGAACCTCGTATCAGTCAAAGCCAGCGCTTTCGGCTTCTTAACGAACGACTCGTTCGTTTCAGCTTTCGGAGTTGGCGCTTGCCTGTTGCCGATGTCCATAGCACGTACGATGCACTGCAGCTGATCTTCCGACGTGCACCCTATCCACCTCTGTCATGTGGCTGCGCAGGGTGACCTTGGCCTGAATCCATTGTGGGGGGGGGGAGCTGGTTCTAGATCGAAAACAAACCAAAATCCTCCTCATTGAAATGAAATCCCCGTACCACCTCATCGTTTCGCTCGAGAACGGCTCCGGTGCCATTGAATGCGATGGGGCAGCCTCGTTGGGCATCATTGGTGCATTGCAGGCCTGCCAGTCCTTTGTCAACGTTCAAATTAGATATGTCGAACTAGATTTACTATACAACTTGTACTTTACACGGGAACCTGACAATCGCAGTCATCCAGAACAACACCCGGCTTGTCAAGTGCATCTTGAATCAAACGAGGCACACCACCTCCACTCAAATCGCGCAGGCAGCCTTGGTAGCCTTGAGTTGCATTGCCGCCACCAACCGGGAAAGCCGGGGACAGGCCTCCAAACAACGAGTTGCCAGTCAGCGTGATCAGGCCAGAGTTTAGCAGATTATCATGGACAAGCACATCAGGGTAGAAGCCTGGCGTTGAAATCTTTGCCGTGAATTCGCTCCCAAACCGGCTCAGGGAAAACTCGCGCCAAACATTGTCGTCAAAGGGACCGGCAAACTGCTCGTTGTGGAGATCATTCCCGGCGTTGTTGCGCAGAATCACGTTCAGGGCATTGTTGTACAGCTCCACAGTCACAGAGTCGGACGCACCCTTTTGGAGGTAGAGCACGCCGTCGGTCGTCGTTCCGCGGAACCAGAAGCGAATGTCGGTGAGGGTCCTTGATGAAAGCGGGAAGAACTCTACGCGCTCGTTGCCGGTTGGCAGGCTTGCATCCTGGCTGATGGAGCAGTCGTACTTGACCTCGCCGGTAGGGTAAGCATCACGGCCATCAAAGTGCAAGTGCTCGAGAACGATGTTGCGTATGCACCCGTGGAACATGTCGCCGCTGCGCGTCCCACCAACCTTGACGTTGCCGTTGACATTAACGTTCAGCGTGGGTCCGCCCAAGTAGTAGTGCTCCTGGACCATCTCCGTATCAATGTAGATGAAGACGCGACCGGGCGAGGTGGTCACTTCAAGTGTATGCCACTCATGGTCAAGAAGCTCGTTAAAGTCGGCCGAAAAAGACACCGGGCCTTGTCCAGCGTTGAAGTTCACAACAACTTGAGCACTGTCATCGCACAGGACGTTCACCCAAACGTCGAGAAAGTCGACCCAATAGTTGTGGCGGACACTGAAAACGCGAAACTCCCGGCTCGCAGAAGGGCCCTTGCGCAGTTTCAAGTCCAGTGACATTTGTTTGAAAAGCGTCGAGTGTGTGTTAATGGCGAGGCCATAGGCATTAGGGAAGGTGAGGTAGCCCTTCTCTCCGAAAAACACGGCAGGCTCGTCGGATGGGCAATCGGCGGACACAACCGCGGCATACATTGCCACGACAGCCACAAGAATGCAAGCCAGATGGCTGGTTTTAGCGGAAGCAGACATGAATAAAAAATGCAAGACCGATACAAGGATGAAGACGAGCGACAAGACAAAACAGAACAGAGCAGAACGGTGACAAAGGAGGAAGAGAAGAAGGACTGGCGTCCGCCGCCGCGATGCATGCCGCAATTTAAACCACCGCCCTCTCCCAAATAGGGGCTGATTCGTTTGGTAGATGCGCGACATCCCAGCGATGCCGTGCCGAAGCATTCCCATCGATCCCACGATCACACGTCTTGCTCGATCGGCGAGATTGCGCTCGAGACTGTGCGACGCTCGCTGGAACTTTAATGGATACAAATGGTAGCTACGCTCAATGGAGCTGTCGCCTGGAGCTCTCGCTTGTCCGTTTGCTCAGCGTCTGGACAAGTACGTGAAAAGTGGGAGGGTGGTGTGGGCGGTGTTAGGGTGTTTTGTTGTGTGTTATTGGGCGTGGAACGCGTCTTGTTTTATTCGACTCGCAGGATCACTCCCTTGAAAAAGGGTGCGAAGATTTTTGTCACACTCACAACTGCAACAGGCCGACCTGCTCGTAACTGGTTTCACGGTGGAAGGAGCAGAGCGGTGGAGAGTCCGGTAGGCTTGTGC